TCTAATATTGCTATTTGTGAAGTAAGGATAGACCATTGTGGTAATAATATACTTGTTAAGATTTGCTGCTGCTTGTTGTATTTCAGGAAGAATAACGATAAATGATGTGCGGCAACAATCGAAAATTCATGTGTTCGATTCGCAACTTTTATGCTTTGTAAAAAACTGCAAAGATACTTAAGCTGTTTCAAAGACATACCACCTTGATCTACTAAGTCTAAGCTTTGCAGCAATGCCAAAGTTGTAGGTAAAAGAAATCTAGTTTAGAAGAAATCGCGTTCGGAAATGGATGGTGACCGGAAGCATAGATTGTATTACTAAGTAACAATCTATGCCGGAAGTGAGTGTTTGACTCTACAACATAGCAAATGTAGAACCTCAGACAAACAAACCATTCATGTAATTCTCGTGTTACAAATGATACTACAAATGGTAAGGATCTAACTGTCATATTTTTTTATTTTCTCAATTTTTATATAGCTGCTCAGGGTTTTACAACTATGATGTTTAAAGTACTCAAGAAATGCTAGGATTTGTGCTCGGTATTATAATGGTAAGTACTAAAAATGGTGATTGATACTTAATTAACCATTATCTACATATAGTGTATAATGTACTTCATAGACAGAAGGCAGCCCCAAGAAGTACAGAGACTGACAACAAATGGCCTCATTAGCAGATGACATGGAGCTAATGAGACAGAATATGCTTAAGCCTGCAGCAGCAGATGCTGGCCAGGATGTCACAATTGCAGGCAGCAGTACAGCCTGAGCCTGGGGATCACAATGAACTTGAAGTCAGGAGGAGGAAGAGTTCACTAGAAAGAAATTGCAAAATGATGTCTACTGCTAGAGCTGGTTCTTGGAGAGATTTGAGCACTAATGAGATGTCTTATGGATCCCAGAGAAAGATTGCCACCTTTCTGGACTCATCTCACACCCTCAACTGGAAAGACTTGTGCTCAATGATGCCAGAATACGGGTACAAAAATAATTTTTAATTTTAAAAATTATCATCATCATCATAATCTTAGTCCTCTACAGATGCAGCAGTTATCCCAGCAGGAGGCGAGGGGGAAGAGTCCCACTATATCACTGTTGAGCCACATGGCATCAAGAGGTAGGACTGTTGGCCAGTTGTATGACTTTTGCAATGAGCAGGAGGAGCCTAACTACCCGGGCAGTATCCTATATGTGAACTGACAAGGAATACAAGTAATATATAAAAATTTATACTGTATGTTAAATGCAATATTAATAGTATTAATATATATAGTACCATGGACTATAGCCCATATTTTTTTTCTGAAAAATGGCTAAAAAATTACCTCAAATTTTTATTACATTTTTTGATACATTTTGATGTGCTTATGCTGTGTAGAAAGTTTGAGGTGATTCCGACTTTAATTTTTAGAGTTATGGCCATTTAAAGAAATTGGCCAAATTTTGAAAAAATCCCTGTACTATAGCCCATGGTTCTTTCCAAAAAATAGCTAAAAAAATCACCTCAAATTTTTATTACATTTTTTGATAAATATTGATGTCCTTATGTTGTGTAGAAAGTTTGAGGTGATTCCGACTTAAATTTTTAGAGTTATGACCATTTAAAGAAATTGGCCAAATTTTGAAAAAATCCCTGTACTATAGCCCATGGTTTTTTCGGAAAAATGGCTAAAAAATTACCTCAATTTTTAATTACATTTTCTAATACATATTGATGTGCTTATGCTGTGTAGAAAGTTTGAGGTGATTCCAACTTAAATTTTTAGAGTTACGGCCATTTAAAGAAATTGGCCAAATTTTGAAAAAATCCCTGTACTATAGCCCATGGTTTTTTCCAAAAAATGGCTAAAAAGTCACCTCAAATTTTTATTACATTTTTTGATACATATTGATGTCCTTATGCTGTGTATAAAGTTTGAGGTGATTCCGACTTAAATTTTTAGAGTTATGACCATTTTAAAAAATTGGCCAAATTAAAAAATCCCTGTACTATAGCCCATGGTTTTTCCAAAAAGTGGCTTCAAAATCACTCCAAATTTTTATTACATTTTCTAAAACATATTAATGCCCTTGTACTGTGTAGAAAGTTTGAGCTTATTCCAACTTCAACTTTTTATGTTATAGCCATTTTGAAGTGAGCCAAAATCTTTTTTTTCCAATAAATGGCTTCAAAATTGTCCCTATTTCTATTATTCATATTGATGTCCTTATGCTAAGTTTAAAGTTTGAGCTGATTCTGACTTAAATTTTCAAGTTTTGGCCAGTCTTTCCCACAAAGCATTCTCAATAATTGAGCTAAAAACATTATCAACTGATGATCATCATCAAAACAAAAAACAAGATCATCATTCTTCATTAGCTTACAAGTATACTATTACAGCATTTGGAACAATTTTTAAAATTAACAAAGAATTCAATTTTCACAAATCAGTTTATATTGATGTGTGGTCATTAATGAGCTAATGTACTTTCTTTTGTGACTGTCAGTCTGTCTCCATGTGTAACAGAACATGTTAGTGTATGTAAAAGACCCATGAGCTTGGGATGATTATGTCATCTTAGTGTTAATGAAATTAGTGTGTATGTTATGTGATAACATGTAATGTTGACCTAATAGTATATGTGTGAATTTATGATTTATCCTGTTTTCTTATTAGACCTTACTTTTGTTACTCGTTCTGTGAGCTGGTCATGAGGCTAGCCTTATCTTTGTCATTTGTGTACATAATGTATCCTCATCCTCTTGAAGACTGTTTTGTATTTAAGTCATTAACTTTTGTCATTTTGGTGTGTGTCATTTTGGAAGAATTTGTTGAGTTAAATCGGTCTGTTACAGTGTACATATTAGGATTACATCATGATATCCTTTATCAATATACACAATCATTCAGTGTTGAGTATACACATGGAGACAGGCTGACAATCACAAAAGGAAGGAAGTACAGCTCATTAATGGGCCAATACGTGAACATAAACTGATTCATTAACTTTTTTATTCACAAGCAAAGTATTGCAAAATTTCCCTTGAAAATGCTTAACATTCACAATCATTAAATCACACTCATGTAAGAGGAAAAGATACTCAGAATTGAGTCTATTACTTACTACATTACTTGCATACATGCATAGTGTGTTAATCTTTTATTTATATGTCACGGACTGGTTTAACTCAACAAATTCTTCCAAAATAACACACATCAAAATGACAAAAGTTAATGACTTAAAGACAAAACAGTCTTCAAGAGCATGAGGCTACATTATGTACACAAATGACAAAGATAAGGCTAGCCTCATGACCAGCTTAGAGAACAAGTAACACAAAAGTAAGGTCTACTCTAGACTACTAAGAAAACAGGATAAATCATAAATTCACACATACTAATTACATCAACATTGCATGTTATTACATCAACATTGCATGTACATGCACACTAATTTCATTAACACTAAGATGACATAATCATCCCAAGTCTCATAGGTCTTTCACATTAAGTACATATCTTTCTGATTTTTTGTTTGATTTAATTTTTATTTATTTTTTAATACTGCTTTGTCGCTAATTTTTGTTATTGTTAAATCAGGCATTAATTTTGTTTTTTTTGTCATTTTTGTTTATTTATTTATTTATTTATTTGTTTATTTATTAGGAACTATTATAATGATATCTTTTTCAACCTCTCTCCCTCTATCATCCTTTAGGTTAATAGTGTTGATAGATCATATTGTTCACAATGTGGGCAGCTCAACATGCAGCATTGTGTAAAGTACTCACTACATGTCATCAAGTATCTCTGTAACAAGAGTGTACTCTTTAAATCAATAGACCACTGACATACAGATAGACACTGTATGCATATACTGACTGTAACAAAATGCACTAATCCCTCAATGTCAGCTGTTCTATTTAGCATTTTGTGTATTGTGAGATTATAACTAAAATTATTATTTAATAAAAAATTGAATGTATTAAAGTATCACAACTATTATTTGGAGGATGATGAGTAGCTTGTACATTAGTACAGTACTCACCACACTACATGAGAAACTGAGTTGAGCCTGTGACTATGAAAAAGAATCCTAAGATAAGTTTTTGTTAATGTAATAACATTTAGCTTAAGCCAGGCATACACTAGGCAACATGTTTCTGGCAACATTTGTGGTTACTTTGATCTTGTAAGCAACATGTTGCCAGAAATAGAAAGATGTTCTATTTTTGGCAACATGTTGCTTGGTTGCTAGCAACATGTTGCCTAGTGTATGGAAGCCTTAAGTCTCATTTCACCCTGAGTGAATATGCTATATAGTCAGTGCAGACAGTAGCTATGAAATACTTAGGTATTAACTATATTTTACTCTTAATTAAATTGAATCTAATTATCACTAGACTATACACTATGCATCAGATTTCCTTATTTGGAGAGTAGCCTATATAAGTCATCACTCACAGCCTGCAAGTATACACTAGTCAGTCAGTACAGACAGTAGCTATGCCTCTCCTGTTAGTGGTTGTTCTCTTATTCTTCAGTAGCTCCTGCAGTGTCTCCTCTGCTCAGTATTATGTGTCTGATGACTGCAGTTCAGTTACTCAGTCACCTTGTAATCCTTTATCAGTGTATGCTGGGAATATGTCTCAATACAATAACACCATCTTCTACTTCATTGGAACTAGTGTCATTAACTTTATTGTCACAATGGACTCAGTACAGAATATAACTCTACATGGACTGGACCAGTCTCCTACTATTCGCTGCATAAATGATCATCAATTAAAAAGCTATATAAGAATCACTACCAGCAGTCATGTCTGTTTCAGTAACTTATCATTTCAGCAATGCGGCATATTTTTTAGGCATTCCAGTAATATCACAATTACTGGTTCTATTTTTAAAAGCCAGCGTTGGAGATCAGGTCTTACCAATGTTTTTGATAGTAAGATAACATCTTCAGTTTTTGATAATGTAGTATATATTCAATATATATCACCTCGAGTGTGTTACAATGAATTACACCATTACTCATTAACACTGACTAATGTTACTGTGACTAATAACAAATTATCATTTGATATGCATCATGGTACTTCATATAATATATCAGTTATCCTTGATAATGTTAATATTATCAGTTCATCAATGTCTGGTATTTCTTATTGGTTCACTATATCTCTTTTTTCCCTGTATATTACCAACTCGTCAGTATCTAATTCAGAGCATGGATTTTATTCTAGATTTTACATAAATCTATATTTTCATGGATACAAATTTTGTAATATCAAAGGTGTTGAATCACGATCGACTGTTGCAATTGAAGACTCCCAATTTTACAACAACCGCATAGTTGCATTATCATTTCGTATACTTCGAAATTTTTTTCAAACAAGTAATCATCATATTGATTTTACTGTTAAGTCATGTTCAATACGTGACAGTGACTATGGTTTATTGATTGCTGGAGGTTTTTCAACTTTAGCTCATATCAGTGTTATAGATACTGAACTTGCTGGAAACAAAAGAAATGACATAGGAGGGTGTCTTTCTATCCTTCTAAATAACGTTACTGTTGCAAATAGTCTATCAACAGGACTGGTGATTATAGCCTCTGTAGTAACTGTAGAAAATAGATTAGTATTTAAGAATAATACTGGAGTAGTTGGAGGAGGAATGGCAATAAATAGTTCATCTGTTGTGGCCCTATCACCATCAGCTAACTTGGAGTTTATTGATAATCATGCAACTTATAAAGGAGGAGGAATTTATATTGATGACAAAATTAAAAGTGATTATAACCTTTATTCAGTTTTTTATATTTTACCATTACCAACTCTTAAAACAATTACATTCAAAGGCAATACTGCTGGAGTAGCTGGCAATGACATGTATGGAGTCGATTCTAAACTACAAAATGCTTTCTCAGGAGTGAAAGAACTTTCAACATCAAGTGATGCAAGTGCGTTTGCTTTTTGTGATCCTGACAGTAATGAAACCACAACAATATGGTATGATGATGAGCAACAAAGTGTTTTTCCAGGTCAACCACTAAAATATAATGTTGCTTTATTTGGACGCAGTTCTGATGCATACTCATATAGTGTTACAGATGGAAGAATAACAATAGAAATTAATGGAACATCGGTGATAGACAAATACATTAATAATTGCTCACTGATTGAGTACACACCAAAATTTATTAACTATGGAGAACATAATGTTTCACTGACTGATACATCATATAGAATTCAATTGAATATTTCATTTATTCTTAATGAGTGTCCTTTTGGTTTCAGTGTAAACAGTTCAGGTTTTTGTGATTGCAGTGTTTCAAGAGAGAATGTGACATGTGATATAAATACCCTAGACATTACACACAATGGTCTACTCTGGATTGGAACATATCATACCAGTACACCTTTCAATGCTAATTCAACCAATCCTAATGCATGCATTATCAATGAGGACTGTCTCCTCTATTGTTCTCCTAATCCTGTTATCTTTCAGTTCAATCACACTGATACTCAATGTGTAGATGATAGAGGACACAGAATGTGTGGATCATGTACAGAGGGATACAGTCTACTAATGGGATCAAACAAGTGTGGACATTGTCATAATAATTATATGATGATAGCTTGGATTGGTCTGTTTGCAGTGATGGGTGTACTACTTGTGGCTCTACTCATTGCTCTCAATTTAACAGTATCAGTGGGTACACTCAATGGTCTATTGTTCTATGCTAACATTGTCAAGTTATACGAGCCAGTCTTTTCAAGGAAAGGAGCATTACCAGTATTGAGTCAAGTCATATCATGGATTAACTTAGACTTTGGGTTTGAGATATGTTTTTACAATGGTATGGACAGTTATGCTAAACAGTGGCTCCAGTTTGCTTTCCCTCTCTACCTGTGGATCATTATCATTATCATTATACAATTGTGTAGGAGATATGGTAAAATATCAAGACTGATGGGGTCTCATGCTGTTCCTGTTCTATCCACACTTACTTTTCTCTCATATACTAAACTAGTACGTACTATTGTTATTGTACTACACAAGTGTGAAGTAACTCTTCACTGTACAGATGAGTCAGTAAGATCAGTTAGTTTATGGTATGAGGATCCTAATGTTGAATATGCTAAAGGGAAGCATGCTGGACTATTTGGATTTGCCCTATTGGTGTCTGTTTTCTTTATCATACCATACACACTGTTCCTTTTATGTCATCCAGTATTTGAGAAGTATCTGTCACACTTTAAACTGTTTAAGAGCTGGAGTCGTTTCAAGCCTATTATTGATGCTTATAGTGGTCCAATGAAAGATGAATATCGGTTCTGGCCTGGTCTACTGCTAGTGACTAGGATACCAGTACTTTTAATTGTCACCTTTTTGAAGAATGAATCACGTGTCATGCTATTGACAGTAGCAGCTTCCATTCTCTCCTTTAGTTTTATCTTTGGTGGTGTGTACAGAAGGAAATTAAACAATATCATAGAGTTTTGGTTCCTTTTTAACTTGTGCATCATGGCTTCTTTATCTATAGCCTTTACTGATGAGAATGAAGTATTGATCTGGTACAATACTTGTTTATCTGTTTTTGCTTTTAGTTTTATTTTGATTGTTGTTTATCATCTTTACCTGCAGTTATCATATATAAAATGTTATGATGCTCTAATTAAGAAGTTATTCAAGAAACAAGATGAAGATCACAATCCTCTAGATGTAACTGAATCACATCTAACTGTTGATCAGCAAATGAGAGAAATAGTACCAAGTTCTACTGATGTTAGACTCAGTGATAGTCGTGAATCAGTTGTTGATTTGTTTTTAACATAATCTTTAGTAGTTTTTGCTTCCACATACTTATAGTGATAGACTAATATTATTATTAATATAGTTAGAAGAGCAACCCACTATACGGTATAATCTATTCTTCATTATATTTAGAATTTTCAATTTACAGTCTCCTACTGTAATAATGATGCTAATTTTGTTGTTTTATTATTGCCTTTGATTTTTGTTTTAATTTAAATTCTTTTTAGTCATTTTATTAGTGCCATTTTTATGTAGTTATAAATGAAGTCACGAACACTGATTTGTACTACAAGTACAAAATATGAAAATTCTAAAAAACATTTTAATTTAATTTAAATCAGATTATCAATAGTGGAAGTTACCACACTACAAAGTTATAGGGTTTGTTAGCTGTGGTTCGATAGAAGTCTAGCTGGAAATTGCACAGAATCTTCAATCTTGTCTACTGCTAGAGCTGGTTGATCCCAGAGAAAGATTTCCTCCTTTCTGGGCTTGCCTTACACCCTCAACTGGAAAGACTTGCTCTCAATGATGCCAGAATACGGGTAAAAAAATAATTTTAATTTTTAACAATATCATCATCATAATATCAGTCCTCTACAGATGCAGCAGTTATCCCAGCAGGAGACCAGAGGGAAGAGTCCCACTATATCACTGTTGAGCCACATGGCATCAAGAGGTAACCAGTTTTATGACTTTTGCAATGAGCACTGAGGAAGAGCCTGACTAGACTACCCGGGAGGTTGAGGAAGAAGTATCAGTGAGAGTAAGTGTCACTCCTCAACAATTGGACACAGCTGAAGGTAAATAATGTAGTCTATAGTAATTCTATTTTGACTTATCCTAATGTAGGTGGAGATGATTATTTGTCAACAAGTGCAGTGGTCACATTTAGATATTGGGAAACGCTACATAATGTAACAATTGCTATTATTGATGACCTCTATGCTGAACCTACTGAATATTTCAGTGTAAGGCTAGAAGCTATTGGACAAGATGTTGTTGTATTTCCAATTACAGAATGCACTGTAGGAATACATGACAATGATTGTAAGTATAACACAGTGTTACAGATTCAATATTTTCCCACACAGATGTACAAATTGGTTTTAGTAACTCATCACTGATTATTGATAGTACAGAAATGACTCTTGCTGTCTCAAACTATCATGGAATAATGCAATCAGGAGAAATATCAACTGTTAAGTTGCAAGTTGAAAGTTTATCAGGTACAGACAAATACTTTTTACATAAATTATGCATCTTTGAACCACAGGTGAAGCTTTAAATGTCACTCACTTTGATTTCTATAATTACAGTGGAAGCTACAGTGCAAATCTTAATCTCTCTCATCTTCTTTTCTCTCTGGTATATAACCAAAATAATGCTGTGTTACTAGGGAGACTTGCTACTGATAAATCAAGCATCAATCTAACAATAGAACCATCTGTTATTACCATTACCTATAATCCTCAAATTCCTCAAATTTTTAATACTACAACAACACAAGTTGATTGCATGAGTACAATCGTCACCATAACATCCATTCCTACAATATCATCTCAAGCTTGTGCATTTTCTGAGCCAATTACAGTTACATCTATTCGCACAAGCACACTAACAACTGCAACAAGTGCTTCAATTATGATCACAAGCCCTCCAGTATCTAAAGTAACGATAACAGTTGAGAAGACTTTGCCATGTTCTGCAGCTATACTACCAACAACACAACCAAACCAGTCCTCGTTGAACTCAAGTGTAGTCGTTGGAGGTGTAATGGGCTATGTTATACTTGTCATTCTTGGTATCGTTGGCACTGTGGGTGGGTTTTTCTGTGGAAGAAGTACCAGAAGACAACAAGGAATGACAATGTCGGCAACGAATGTACCAGTAATTATTAGTAATGTTAATGATTACGAAGGTCGTAGAAAAGCAATTAGATCTGGTATACTTGACAAAAACCAGTCACTTCCTCTACCTAAGCCTCCGCATAATATTGGTGAAGAAATTTATGATAATAATGTGATTTACATGGAAATGGATATTTGCAAAAAGAAATGGCATACAAAAATTCTGGAGCAATTGCAGCACAGTAAACATGAGTATTGCACATATAGTAATGTATTTTGTTAATTGTCTTACATTATGCATGCATCAATAAGCCTAATTGTTTACTATTATTGAGTGACTCATCATTACATATCTAATTGTGTGACACTAGTTAAAATAAACCCTAATAGAGTGTTATGTGTAGTAGAAATAGTTGTGTACATATTAATTAAAATTAACAAATTTTTGTGCTGTAGTTTTTGAAATACAATTCGACTAGATATAACAATGTTATAGGGTGTGGTTTTAAAGGTGTGGCTAGAAAGTTTAGGAAATTGCAAAAGGATGTCTACAGCTGGTACTTGGAGGGATTTGAGCACTAATGAGATGTCTTATGGATCCCAGAGAAAAATTGCCGCCTTTCTGGACTCGTCTCACACCCTCAACTGGAAAAACTTGCTCTCAATGATGCCAGAATACGGGTACAAAAATAATTCTAATTAAAAAATATCATCAGTCTTGTCCTCTACAGATGCAGCAGTTATCCCAGCAGGAGGCGAGAGGGAAGAGTCCCACTATATCACTGTTGAGCCACATGGCATCAAGAGGTAGGACTGTTGGCCAGTTGTATGACTTTTGCAATGAGCAGGACTGAGGAGCCTGACTACCCGGGCAGTATCCTATATGTGAACTGACAAGGACTACAAGTAATATATAAAAATTTATACTGTATGTCAAATGCAATATTAATAGTATTAATATATATAGTACCATGGACTATAGCTCATATTTTTTCCGAAAAATGGGTAAAAAAATCACCTCAGATTTTTATTAAATTTTCTGATACATATTGATGTGCTTATGCTGTGTAGAAAGTTTGAGGTGATTCCGACTTTAATTTTTAGAGTTATGGCCATTTTAAAAAAATTGGCCAAAATTTGAAAAAATCCCTGTACTATAGCCCATTTTTTTTTTTTTTTTAATAATAATAATAAAATAAATTTGAAATAGGATCAGAAATCAGTAGTAATGAGTTTATAAGTGAAATTAGTAATAATAATAATAATAATAATAATAATCTTTATTAATATGTTAGTGACATTGAAGTCGAGCATCAGAGATTGCTACATCAATGTCACAGTCACTGGGCCTATATATTGATCTCCTTGTACCCCTTACACACCGAATTGTTGATCTTAAAATTGAAAATGATAATTTGCATCTGATGAAATTGATTACTGAACTGTACGGTTTGTTAAGTTTGTCAGCTGTCAGTAGTGCAATTCGTCTAAAAACTACATCACATACAGGAGCCAGCCCGCCATTGGTGGAAAAAACTATAGCCCATGGTTTTTTCCAAAAAATGGCTAAAAAGTCACCTCAAATTTTTATTACATTTTTTGATACATATTGATGTCCTTATGCTGTGTAGAAAGTTTGAGGTGATTCCAACTTCAATTTTTAGAGTCACAGCCATTTAAAGAAATTGGCCAAATTTTGAAAAAATCCCTGTACTATATATAGCCCATGGTTTTTTCCGAAAAATGGCTAAAAAATTACCTCAAATTTTTATTACATTTCCTCTAATACATATTAATGTCATTATGCTGTGTATAAAGTTTGAAGTGATTCCGACTTAAATTTTTAGAGTTATGGCCATTTTAAAAAATTGGCCAAATTAAAAAATCCCTATATTATAGCCCATGGTTTTTCCAAAAAGTGGCTTCAAAATCACTCCAAATTTTTATTACATTTTCTAAAACATATTAATGCCCTTGTACTGTGTAGAAAGTTTGAGCTTATTGCAACTTCAACTTTTTATGTTATAGCCATTTTGAAGTAGCCAAAATCTTTTTTTTGTCAAATAATTGGCTCGAAAATTGTCCCTAATTTCTGTTATTCATATTGATGTCCTTATGCTAAGTTCAAAGTTTGAGCTGATTCCGACTTAAATTTACAAGTTATGGCCAGTGTTTCCCACAAAACATTCTATGTACGTGTAATTGAGCTAAAAACATAAACAAAAAACATCATCATCGAAACAAAAAACATCATTATCATTCTTCATTAGCTTACAAGTATACAATTACAGTATTTGGAACAATTTTTTAAATTCATAAAAAATCCATTTTTAATGAATCAGTTTATGTTCATGTGTGGTCCATTAATGAGTTGCACTTCCTTCTTTTTGTGGCTGTTAGCCTGTCTCCATGTGTATACCCAATAGAGAATGATTGTGTATGTAAAAGACCCATGAGACTTGGGATGATTATGTCATCTTAGTGTTAATGAAATTAGTGTGTATGTTACGTAATACCGTATAGGGGTTATATTTCACTGGTAATAAATTTTGCGAATTTCGCATTTTCATTAAATTCGCGAAATTAAATTCCACAAAAGAGGTGTGGCACACTAGGTAAAATGGCTACAGAAGGTAAGATTCGCAAAAATTTATACCAACAAATGGCAAATCTGGACAAATTCGCAAAATTTTATACCAACAAAATAAAACCACTATACGGTAACATGTAATGTTGACCTAATAGTATATGTGTGAATTTATGATTTATCCTGTTTTCTTATTAGACCTTATACTTTTGTTACTTGTTCTGTGAGCTGGTCATGAGGCTAGCCTTATCTTTGTCATTTGTGTAACACAATGTATCCTCATCCTCTTGAAGACTGTTTTGTATTTAAGTCATTAACTTTTGTCATTTTGGTGTGTGCTATTTTGGAAGAAATTGATGAATTAAATCAGTCCGTTGCAATATCTTTCTATTTTTGTTTAATTTAATTTTAATTTATTTATATATATATTTTTTGATACTGCTTTGTCGCTATTTTTTGTTATTATTAAATCAGGCATTAGTTTTGTTTATCTGTCTTTTTGTATATTTATTTATTATTTTGTTTATTTATTAGGAACTTCATCCTCTTGTCGAAGGAGGGAAGGACTTCCCTGTCTGGGTGTTTTGTCCAGTAGATAACTCACTTGAGTCCCTAGCACTAAAACTAATGCAGTATTACAGCAAATTAAAATACTTCATATTCACTGGTACAGGCAAACCAGTCAATCATCATCCAAGAGTACAAGAGACTGACATTTGCATTTCACGACCTAAAGAGTCCTCCCCGTTGGGTTTTATTGAAGAACTCTGTCATATGAATGCTTTGTGGGGCCTTGATGTCCAGTCAAGTAAACCTTGGGGTTGTTCTAAAGTGGTTTTTGGTAGCGTTGGTAGTTCTGTTGCTGCTGGGTCTGATGTGGTTAGTAGTCCATCAGTTACTTTTACTAATGCTGGAGAGGCTTTGGTTAGAAGTGGTAAACCAATCCCCTATGCTTCTATACTATCTGTAAGTTTTTAAAATATGCTACTCTCTTTAAAGCTTCACACTTTAAGGTAAAGCCTTATTAAGTCAAGACAGGAAGTGCTGTATAAACCAATGGCCAGGGTTAATTTAATGAGTAATATTTATCCTTATAGTAAAGCATTGGTTTATATAGCACTTAATTCCTGTCTTGACTTAAGGCCTTACCTTAAGGCCGATTTACACTGCAAAATTAACGTAAGGTAAGGCCATACGTTAAGACAGGAAGTGCTGTATAAACCAATGGCCAAACGTAAGAGTAGAGATAAGTTCAACTTTTACATTACGTAAACGGTTGCCATTGGTTTATACAGCACTTCCTGTCTAACGTATAGCTTTACATTACGTTAATTTTGCAGTGTAAATTGGCCTTTAAGTTCAAGTGTGAATCAGCCTTAAGTCTCTTTCTGCCTTTCCTCCTGGTCTTTTTCTCATTCTTTTCCTCATGCAGTTTGATGTACCATATAGCACTTTAATTTCAAGGAGAAAAACTTTTCCTGTTTTTGTGGGTTAGCATGCAACCGCTAAATTAAAGTTCCATTGAATATTCAATTGCTATTGAAGGCGTGGCACTAACATTGCGAATCCACAAAAGCTATTTCCATGAAAAATTGATTTTATTCATCCGCAAAATTAAAGTGCTCTATGGTATATTGTTCACACACATCTTGATCTAAATTTATCGTGTTCCATGTTCTCTCTTTCCCATCTTCCTCTTCATTATTATTTCTTTGTTATACGTGTACTTCCATACAGGGTTTCCCACAAAGCATTCTAAGTGTGAGCTAATTACAGCATGAGCTTCATGAGCTGACAAGTACTATAATCATAGATATTATACACGGAACAGGATTGGAAACAGGATCACGTGAGCACATTATGCATCGAAACCAACCTAGTTTGCCGGGAACTGGTGACCGTAATGGAGATGAATGGAGAAAGTTTGTGGGACTCTAGCAACTACATCGGACGACAAAGCA